ATGATGGGGCACTATTCCTCCCACTACCACCAATGATGGGGCACTATTCCTCCCACTGACCACCAATGATGGGGCACTATTCCTCCCACTGACACCAATGATGGGGCACTATTCTCCCACTGACCACAATGATGGGGTACTATTCCTCCCAATGATGGGGTACTATTCACTACTACCAATGATGGGGCACTATTCCTCCCACTACCACCAATGATGGGGCACTATTCCTCCCACTGATGGGGACTACTTACTACCAATGATGGGGCACTATTCCTCCCACTACTACCAATGATGGGGCACTATTCCTCCCACTACCACCAATGATGGGGCACTATTCCTCCCACTGACCACCAATGATGGGGCACTATTGTTCCCACTGACTGATACCCCAATGATGGGGCACTATTCACCTTTCCAACCGCTCCATCTCCGCCACCCCCCTCTGCCAATCCCTCCACTGGCTTCCGATTGCGCAACGGATCAAATTCAAAATCCTAACACTGACGTACAAAGCTGTCCACCATACTGCCCCGAACTACATCACTGACCTAATATCAAAGTGCCACCCAACACGCACACTCCGCTCCTCACAAGACCTCCTTCTCTCTAGTTCCCTGGTCTCCTCCTCCCATGCCCGCCTCCAGGACTTCTCCAGGGTGTCACCCATCCTCTGGAATTCCCTGCCCCAACCCATCAGATTATCACCTACTTTCCTCTCCTTTAGGCGCACCCTGAAAACCCATCTCTTCAGGGAAGCCTACCCCACCCCCTGCTAACCTGCCGACCTCCTCCACTCTTCCTACCACTCCATCCCCCACAGCTATCTCCTCCTGTGCCACCATCCCCTCCCTCCTAGATTGTAAGCTAGAAAGAGCAGGGCCCTCAATCCCCTCATGTTTTGCATTGTATTGGTATTGTTCTGTCACATGTTCTGTCCCCCTTTGTAATGTACAGCGCTGAGCAAACTATTGGCGCTTTATAAATACTCTATAATAATATTAATAATAATTCCTCCCACTGATACCAATGATGGGGCACTATTCCTCCCACTGATACAAATGATGGGGCACTATTCCTCCCACTGACACCAATGATGGGGCACTATTCCTCCCACTGACACCAATGATGGGGCACTATTCCTCCCACTGTCACCAATAATGGGGCACTATTCCTCCCACTGACACTAATGATGGGGCACAATTCCTCCCACTGATACCAATGATGGGGCACAATTCCTCCCACTGACACCAATGATGGGGCACTATTCCTCCCACTGATACCAATGATGGGGCACAATTCCTCCCACTGACACCAGCGATGGGGCACTATTCCTCAAACTGACACCAGCAATGGGGCACTATTCCTCCCACTGACACCAATGATCGGGGACTATTCCTCCCACTGATACCAATGATGGGGTACTATTCCTCCCACTGATACCAGTGATGGGGCACTATTCTTCCTACTGACACCAATGATGGGGCACTATTCCTCCCACTGACACCAATGATGAGGCTCAATTCCTCCTACTGACACCAACAATGGCGCACTATTCATCCCACTGACACCAACAATAGGGCACAATTCACCCCACTGACACCAATGATGGGGCACAATTCATCCCATTGACTCCAATGATGGGGTACTATTCCTCCCACTGACACCAATGATGAGGCTCAATTCCTCCTACTGACACCAACAATGGTGCACTATTCATCCCACTGACACCAAGAATAGGGCACAATTCACCCCACTGACACCAATGATGGGGCACAATTCATCCCATTGACTCCAATGATGGGGTACTATTCCTCCCACTAACACCAGCAATGGGGCACAGTTCCTCCCACTGACACGAACGATGGAGAACTATTCATCCCACTGACACCAACGATGGGGCACTATTCATCCCACTGATACCAATGATGGGGTACTATTCCTTCCACTGACACCAATGATGGGGCACAATTCATCCTACTGACTCCAATGATGGGGTACTATTCCTCCCACTGACACCAGCAATGGGACACAGTTCCTCCCACTGACACGAACGATGGAGAACTATTCATCCCACTGACACCAACGATGGGGCACTATTCATCCCACTGATACCAACGATGGGGACACTATTCATCCCACTGATACCAACGATGGGGACACTATTCCTTCAACTGACACCAATGATGGGGCACTATTCCTCTCCCACTGACACCAATGATGGGGTACTATTCCTCCCACTGACACCAATGATGGGGCACTATTCCTCCCAGTGACACCAATGATGGGGCACTATTCCTTCCACTGACACCAATGATGGGGCACAATTCATCCCACTGACACCAGCAATGGGGCACTATTCCTCCCACTGACACCAGTCAGGGCCCCCTCTGCAATCTGAAGGGCAGTATACTGGCCCTTTGTTTAAAAAGTTTGGAGACCCCTGATATAGCATATAGAATTGCGACACAAGTCATATTGTAACTGAATGTTAATAATATCTTTCCTTTTCAATCTGCAGCTTCTGTAGTTTTTTCTGTAAAATGCAATATGACCACCTGGAGGCATTCCATTCACAGAATGTGTACAGAACACCCCCCAACAACATCTCCTACTCGTGTGATTGGCTCACTGATTTTCCCAGAAGTCTGCACCAAGATACAAGTCAGATTTTAGGCATCCCCTGCAAAAAAAAAAATAAAAAATTTGGTGAGATATTCCCAATTGGAAATCATGTTTAAAGGGATGCAGACCCTGCCACTTTCCTCATCAGATGCAGCAGCTGATTGATAATTATAAAACTACTCCCATTAGATTCGCTTTCCACATGGACACAGACAAACAAACAGCTCTTTCTTCAGAAAAACAAACGGTAGAGATCTGCAACATAGATTGTTAGAATCCCTGCAATGTACATAGATCACCCAGAGGGGAGGGTGTTATTCTCAACAAAAGTGGAGTTATTATTGAATTCCCAGAATTAAAGTCTATGTAAAGCCTCACCTTGTAAAACAAACCATTCAGTTTCCAATAAAAATGATAGACAAAACAGTTGTGTATAAATATTTAGAAAAAAAAAATTATACACTTTTTTTCCCCTTTTTTATAGGCAATTGCATTCCCTCTGACCTCAGGTGACCTCAGTTGCATAAGAGCTGGGGGAGGGAAACATCAGCACACTGTGAATGGCTGTGTGGAGAGGGAGGGGGTGTCAGGACCAGTGTGATCATTGGAGGAGAGCAGGCTGAGTTCCCAGCATAGCTAGAGAACTGTGCTCTCATGCTTAGTGTGGTCAGTTTTTAGGAAAGCAGTGGGACTGGCAGGAACACCAGGGATTTCACACAAAGGAAGCAATATAAAGAGAACAGGAGATGTCTTCATACAAGTACATGGTACAGCAGGCACAGATCAGGAATAGGAAATGTAAATTCCCGGAACCTCATCAGACACCTCTGCATTCTTCAAAAGATAGGATGAATTTTGAAGACGATGTTTTTTTCTGATCTCCTGTCAAGATTGGAGGCGCCATCTTTGTGGAAATCTTTCTCACTCCCAAATCCTCTGCCGCGCTGTTTCTTGGTTCATGTCCAATGTTAGTCCATCTAAGTCCTCATACACATGGGACGTTCTGATAATGCTGGTAACTTTAGCTGTGTAAATTCACATTAAAAACGCAAGTTTTTCAGCTTTTTTTAGCGTTTTTGCATTAGCGTTTAGCCGTGTTTACGTTTTGAACTTTTTTTTTGGTCAAAAAAAGTCCAAAAACGCCGGTTTGCGGCATTCTGCCATGTTTTTTTTTCCAGCCAAAAAACACTGATTCCAGTCTATGTGTGTATGGACACCTAGGATGCTGGGGGGTTACTGGCTGTAGAAAAAAATGTCAAAAGCCAAAAACAGCCGCTGTAAGCCCTCACGCACACGGGACCTTTTGATAACGGTGGTAACGTTAGCTGTGTAAAGTCACCTTAAAAACAGGAGTTTTTCAGCTTTTTTTTTTTAGCATTTTTGCATTAGTGTTTAGCAGTGTTTTCCCGCATTTGCATTTTGTAGCATTTTTCTGTTACCAAGAAAAAAAAATTTTTTGATAAAAAAAAGTTAAAAACTCCTCTAGAAACCCACTAGTTCTGGGTTTTTTCCAGCCAAAAAACTTTGATTACAGTCTATGTGTGCATGGGCACATAACATTCTTGCATTAGTGTTTAGTGCCGTTTTGGGGCATTTTCTGCCTTTCTTTTAGCGTTCTTTTTTTAAAAATAAAAAATTTTGGTCAAAAAAAGTGCAAAAACTCCAGTTTGCAGCGTTTTACCACATTTTGCTGCAATTTTCAGCGTTAGCATTTTTACAGCTAAAAAACTCCTCTAGAAACCCGCTAGTCCTGGATTTTTTTCCAGCCAAAAAACGTTGATTCCAGTCTGTGTGTGTATGGATACATAGGATAACATGCCGGGGATGGACACATAGGAGAACATGCCGGGGATGGACACGTAGGATAACATGCCGGGGATGGATACATAGGATAACACGCCGGGGATGGACACATAGGATAACATGCTGGGGATGGATACATAGGATAACATGCTGGGGATGGACACATAGGATAACATGCCGGGGATGGACACATAGGATAACATGCCGGGGATGGATACATAGGATAACATGCCGGGGATGGACACATAGGATAACATGCCGGGGATGGATACATAGGATAACATGCCGGGGATAACATGGATGGATACATAGGATAACATGCCGGGGATGGATACATAAGATAACATGCCGGGGATAACATAGCCGGGGATGGATACATAGGATAACATGCCGGGGATGGATACATAAGATAACATGCTGGGGATGGATACATAGGATAACATGCTGGGGATGGACACATAGGATAACATGCCGGGGATGGATACATAGGATAACATGCTGGGGATGGATACATAGGATAACATGCTGGGGATGGATACATAGGATAACATGCTGGGGATGGACACATAGGATAACATGCCGGGGATGGACACATAGGATAACATGCCGGGGATGGATACATAGGAGAACATGCCGGGGATGGACACGTAGGAGAACATGCCGGGGATGGACACGTAGGATAACATGCCGGGGATGGATACATAGGATAACACGCCGGGGATGGACACATAGGATAACATGCCGGGGATGGATACATAGGATAACATGCCGGGGATGGATACATAGGATAAACATGCCGGGGATGGATACATAGGATAACACGCCGGGGATGGACACATAGGATAACATGCCGGGATGGATACATAGGATAACATGCCGGGGGGATGGACACATAGGATAACATGCCGGGGATGGATACATAGGATAACATGCCGGGGATGGACACATAGGATAACATGCCGGGGATGGACACATAGGATAACATGCCGGGGATGGATACATAGGATAACATGCCGGGGATGGACACATAGGATAACATGCCGGGGATGGATACATAGGATAACATGCCGGGGATGGACACATAGGATAACAACATGCCGGGGATGGATACATAGGATAACATGCCGGGGATGGACATAGGATAGGATAACATGCCGGGGATGGATACATAGGATAACATGCCGGGGATGGATACATAGGATAACATGCTGGGGGGTTTACTGGCTGTAGAGAAAACATCAAAAGCCAAAAACAGCCGCTGTAAGCCCTCATACACACGGGACGTTTTGATAACGCTGGTAACGTTAGCTGTGTAAAGTCATGTTAAAAACATGAATTGTTCAGCTTTTTTTAGCATCTTTGCATTAGCGTTTAGCAGTGTTTTCCCGCATTTGTGTTTTTTAGCTTTTTTTTGTTACCAAGAAAAAATGTTTTTTGCTAAAAAAAAGTCCAAGAACTCCTCTAGAAACCCGCTAGTCCTGGATTTTTTTCCAGCCAAAAAACATTGATTCCAGTCTATGTGTGCATGGACACATAGGATAACATGCTGGGGGGTTTACTGGCTGTAGAAAAAACGTCAAAAGCCAAAAACAGCCGCTGTAAAAATGTCCAGTGTGCATGAGGACTTATTCCTCACGCACACGGGACTTTTTGATAACGCTGGTAACGTTAGCTGTGTAAAGTCACGTTAAAAACAGGATTTTTTCAGCTGTTTTTTAGTGTTTTTGCATTAGCTTTCAGAGGTGTTTTCCTCCCTGGAAGCCACCTGCTGCTGAGCGTCTGCAAACCGCCTCTCGTGAGTGTCCCTAGAAGCCATGAACTGTCCCTATTGTGTGCTCAGACTACCCTTGTTTGCACTGCCCCATGGCGTGCCCGGAGTATAGCTACTTGGACTGCCCCCTGAGGGCTTGAGCCATCGCGATCCAAACTAGACTCCATAGGCAAGGTCCCATTGAGTCCTCGTGAGCCTGATGTTGTCCCTAGAAAGGTGTGTGGGAGCTGTGCTGAGGTCAGACCCCATAGCCAAAATCCTGCTGAGTCCCCGTGAACCTGATGTTGTCCCTAGAAAGCTGTGTGGGAGCTGTGCTGAGGTCAGACCCCATAGCCAAGGTTCCGTTGAGTCCGCGTGAGACTGATGTTGTCCCTAAAGAGCTGTGTGGGAGCAGTGCTGAGGTCAGACCCCATAGCCAAGATCCCAGCGGTGATTCCCCATGACCTGATGTTGTCCCTAAAAGCTGTGTGGGAGCTGTGCTGAGGTCAAAAATAAAAATCCCAGCGGTGAATAAATACCACCAAAATAAAGCGTTATCTGTCTAGCAAAAATGCTAAAAAATTCATATGGGTACAGTGTTGCATGACCGCTCAATTGCCATTTAAAGTGTGATAGCGCTGAAAGCTGAAAATTGGCCTGGGCAGGAAGGGGGTGAAAGTGTCCGGACTGGAAGGGGGGTGAAAGTGTCCGGACTGGAAGGGGGGAAAGTGTCCGGACTGGAAGGGGGGGGGAAAAGTGTCCGGACAGGAAGGGGGGAAAGTGTCCGGACTGGAAGGGGGGGGAAAGTGTCCGGACAGGAAGGGGGGAAAGTGTCCGGACTGGAAGGGGGGGTGGTGGAAAGTGTCCGGACTGGAAGGGGGAAAGTGTCCGGACTGGAAGGGGGGAAAGTGTCCGGACTGGAAGGGGGGAAAGTGTCCGGACTGGAAGGGGGGAGGAAAGTGTCCGGACTGGAAAGGGGAAAGGGGAAGGGGGGGGAAAGCGTCCGGACTGGAAGGGGGGGGAAAGTGTCCGGACAGGAAGGGGGTGAAAGTGTCCGGACTGGAAGGGGGGGGAAAGTGTCCGGACTGGAAGGGGGGCAAAGTGTCCGGACACTGGAAGGGGGGAAAAAGTGTCCGGACTGGAAGGGGGGGGAAAGTGTCCGGACTGGAAGGGGGGGAAAGTGTCCGGACTGGAAGGGGGGGAAAGTGTCCGGACTGGAAGGGGGGAAAGTGTCCGGACTGGAAGGGGGGGAAAGTGTCCGGAACTGGAAGGGGGGGAAAGTGTCCGGACTGGAAGGGGGGGAAAGTGTCCGGACTGGAAGGGGGGGAAAGTGTCCCGGACAGGAACGGGGGAAAGTGTCCGGACAGAAGGGGGGTGTAAAAGTGTCCGGACTGGAAGGGGGGTGAAAGTGTCCGGACTGGAAGGGGGGAAAGTGTCTGGACTGGAAGGGGGGGAAAGTGTCCCCTCGTACTGGAAGGGGGGGAAAGTGTCCGGACTGGAAGGGGGGGGAAATGTGTCCGGGACTGGAAGGGGTGAAAGTGTCCGGACAGGAAGGGGGTGAAAGTGTCCGGACAGGAAGGGGGTGAAAGTGTCCGGACAGGAAAAGGGGGGGGGGTGAAAGTGTCCGGGACTGACAGGGGTGTGAAAGTGGGAGAACGGAGTCTGGACAGGGGGGTGAAAGTGTCCGGACTGGAAGGGGGTGGAAAGTGTCCGGACTGGAAGGGGGGGAAAGTGTCCGGACTGGAAGGGGGGGGGGGAAAGTGTCCGGACTGGAAGGGGGGGGAAAGTGTCCGGACTGGAAGGGGGGGGAAAGTGTCCGGACTGAAGGGGGGGGAAAGTGTCCGGACTGGAAAAGGGGGGAAAGTGTCCCGACTGGAAGGGGGTGAAAGTGTCCGGACTGGAAGGGGGGGGAAAGTGTCCCGACTGGAAAGGGGGAGAAAGTGTCCCGACTGGAAGGGGGAAAGTGTCCGGACCGGCAGGGGGGGGAAAGTGTCTTGACTGGAGGGGGGGAAAAAAGATGTCCGCTGGAAGGGGGGAAAGTGTCCGGACTTGAAGTGGTTAAAAAAATGTCCCTGACCCTTTCCAAAAAAATGCAGCAGCTCAAAAAAGCATTGATGTGAACGTGTTCCATAGGAAACCATGTTACATGGACTGTAGTGAGTTTCTGCAAAAAAAACTAAAAGCCGCATTGGTGTAAACGGAGCCTTATGCAGGCCATAGATGGGTCGAAAACCGTCCGTTTTTTAAAAAAAGAACCCGAAAAATCGTCGTTCAAATCGGCAGACGTTACCCTCAGCACCAACGGTAAAAAAAAAAATCGGCTGATTTTCGTCCCGTTTTATGGCCAGCATTTTTACTTTCTGTCCCTTGCAGAGAGCTCCGCTATTATATTTTATATGAAAAGTATTGTGGTTGCAACAATGTATCCATTTGTATGTATTTCAGATACAGATGGTTTTTATTCGGATACAAACAGATACATTGTTACAACCGCAAGACTTTTCATATAAAATATAATAGCGGACTGGAATTCTTCTTCTTCTTTATCTTCTTCTTGCAGGTCACGGCTTATGCGCAGATTTTTTATCGGTAAAACGATCGGCCGATTTGCCCATCATTGCCGGGGAAAATCGGGCGATTGTCAAAATCGGTTGCGAATTTTCCAACTTGACCGATAAAAAAAAATGTGCCAAAACCCCGAAAAAACGTCCAACCAATTAACCCACTAACGGTGCGAAAATCGGCTGATTTTTTTTTTTCGGACGATTTTTAGACCCGTCTATGGCCTGTATTATCCAGGGTTCTATTAACATCATCTGCATTCCTTTTATTAGAAGGAAATTGTCAGCAAGAAAAATCCACAAATGAAAGTCCTGTATTTCTGCGGAGTGTGTCCATGTCCGGGTTAATGTGTGATTGTAATACGTGATCCAGGATGATATATTGAACAATTATTGACAACATCCGGCTGTAAAGAAGTGTCAGGCGTTTAGCTGGAGCTGGTAAAGTGTGGAGGAAAGACTTGCAGACATCACAATACCCGTGTCTGTGTCTGTGCTGCCATCCATTCCATTCTAGATAGAAGAGTTCATTCATCTGAGAAGAGGATAGCCCCGGGTTCACTCTACTGTGGGCCGTGCAGCCTGCGCTTACCCCGGCGTGACAATGCTGTGCCGCATTTCCTGCAGGAACAAACTGCATGCACCTGTTTGAAAACGCGGCTGCAGGGAAACTGCATGGTCCCCTCTTACATCAATGTCCCCATCAGAGTCCTCCTTACATCAGATGCCCCCATCACAGTCCTCCTTACATCAGATGTCCCCATCACAGTCCTCCTTACATCAGATGCCCCCCATCAGAGTCCTCCTTACTGTAGGTGCCCCCATCACAGTCCTCCTTACATCAGATGCCTCCATCACAGTCCTCCTTACATCAGATGCCTCCATCAGAGTCCTCCTTACATCAGATGCCCCCATCACAGTCCTCCTTACATCAGAACCGGATATCGTATGTACTCTCCAGTGCCTCAGACGTATGCACAGCCAAAAGGGAAGCCAAGGGTACCAGGACAGCGACAACCTTACATCAGGTGTCTCTATCACAGTCCTCCTTACATCAGATGTCTCCATCACAGTCCTCCTTACATCAGATGCCCCCCATCACAGTCCTCCTTACATCAGACGCGAGGCATCACAGTCCTCCTTACATCAGGTGTCTCCATCACAGTCCTCCTTTACAACAGGTGTCTCCATCACAGTCCATCTCCTTACATCAGATGTCTCCATCACAGTCCTCCATACATCAGGTGTCTCCATCACAGTCCTCCTTAGAACAGGTGTCTCCATCAGAGTCCCATCCTTACATCAGATGTCTCCATCACAGTCCAGAGTCCTTACATCAGATGCCCCCCCATCAGAGACCTCCTTACATCAGATGTCTCCATCACAGTCCTCCTTACATCAGATGCCCCCATCACAGTCCTCCTTACATCAGATGTCTCCATCACAGTCCTCCTTACATCAGGTGTTCCCATCAAAGAACCCCTTACATCTGGTATCCCATTAAGAGTCCCCCCTACATTTGGTGCCCCCATCAGAGTCCCCCTTTACATCTGGTGTCGCCATCAAAGTCCTCCTTACATCTGGTATCCCATTAAGAGTCACCCTATACACCAGGTGCCCCACCAGAGTCCCTCCTTACATCTGTGTCCCCATTAGAATACCTTCTAACATCAGGTCTCTCCATCAGATTCCTCCTTACATCAGGAGCCCCCATCAGAGTTCTTCCTTACATCTGTGTCTCCATCAGAGTCCCCCTTTACATCAGGTGTCTTCATCAAAGT